CAACAATCCTTCGACCAACATGAACTGAATAACTATAAATTGACATAACATGATCTCTTAAATACAAACTGGTCGGAACAATTTGACCATATTGAAAGATGAGGCCATCAAGCCTCCTATGGCCCGCGGTTATGCGCTAGGTGCGCAGCCCGCCCCATTGAGCCATAACATGAACCTAACGCCAATTTTTACCGACCGATCTTCCACAACTGAACCTTATACTTCAAATAAAAGCTACAGGAAACAAGATTGCTCACGACTTGCTGAATAAAATTAAACTTAACTCGGTTACAATGTTACTTAGGCGCCTTCGGGCTTAGGCACAATTTTGATTGAAATTCTCGAATCTATTCTGAACAAGTAACCTTAAATCGACCTTAGCATCATGAATATAATCTGGAGGAAGAATTACCTCTCGGATTACTCGAATGAAATTGAAGAATAAGGCGTGCTTCCCTTGCTCTAGCTTGGCCGTGCGCTGCCTTCTAATTTACCTTGCGATTGAAATGAAATTTGAGGGGAAAAGATTGAACTTTGCTGCTACTGGAAAGGGGTACTATATGCTGAATATTGCCTTAAGAAAATGGGGAAAATTTCGGTTCCATCCCCTCCTTATATACATGACCGTACAATGAAGGTGATGACAAGGTAGTGGCGTGGCCACTTTTGTCCTTGACACTTGCTATAACCTCATGACTTGATGAGATGACTAAGCATCTTAATTACTTGACAAGTTGCTAATGTTGATTGGTTAAAATACCTTTCCTTTAGTACAAGGAAAGGTCACGGCTAAATGCTAAATTTTTGGGAAAAATCATATTAATCTCACGGCTTTAGGGCTTAATTGTGATTAATTGCTAATTAACCACTAACTTTATGTTTAATTATTAATTAAACATAATACTTAATTACCAAAATTATTTCGGACGTAATCGGTACGTCGAAAATCAATTCCGGTAATTCCGACTGAACTTAATTAATTCCGAAAATAATATACGATAACATTACTATATCGGAATTAAACGTAATTTATACTGATAATATCTCGGGATATTACAAAAACAAATAACAAAGAGAAATATACAAGCTATGAGCACTAGGTATTTAACCCTAACCCTAATTCATTAAACTCTAATAGTGTCTTAACCCTTATCTAGATAGACAAGTAATTAATCTGTAAAAACACTCAAGAAAGCAACAAAAACAATGAAGTCCCAACTTTCCATCCATCATCCAACAATACTCACATTTACCTGATAAGCATCATAAGTAAAAACGAGGCAAAAACTAAAGAAATGAGCTTTAAAGATAAATACCCAATTTTCTATTGCATAGTAGACAAAAATCAGATTCAAAAGTTCAGAACTTGGACAAAACAAAAGTCACCGGAAAAACCGTAGGAAAGTGATGTCATAAGCTCCATACATAACATAGGCTAGAGAGGAAAATAAGAGCATAATCTAAGACCTAAAAAAAAGAAAAAATTCATAATCAGTCTAGATACCCCAAAAATAAAGGACCAAATGTATTTATAGTGCCACACAAAAGACACACACTTTTCACACACACATTAAATGATTCTGAAGTTCGTCGGTCTCGAAACAGGGTTTGCAGCGAGTTTAGGGTGAAAAATGGTCTGCACGGGCACGCTCGCGGGTCGCCAACCACTGTTCACGGCGAGTGTAAGGTTGTGCTGTCGCGGGTCGTGCCTTCGCCGGTCGCGAAGCGAAGTTCACTGCGAGTGCGGGTTGGGGAGATCAACACATGGCCCCTCGTGGGTCGCGATATTTTGTCCGCTGCGAGTGTAGGCGAGCATGGACTATCGCGTGCGCGTGTTCGCGAGGCGCGAGTCGAGGTCCGCGGCAAGTGCAGCTGGCAAGGGGCTCTTGGGCGCTTGCGAAAACGGGTTTGCCGCGAACCTTAAGGAATTAATGGCAGTCTCTCTCTCTCGAAAATTCATACTGCTCGATTAAATGGTTTGACTAACTCGTCTCGTAAAAGGCTCGACGTCGAACACATTGACAACGTCTCGAACAATGGCTCGTCTTCCTCCAAACTCGAACAACGTGGACCTAAACATACCAAAAGAGACAAAGTAGTACGCTAAAAACAATACAAAAACCAAAGAGAAAATAAAATCGCACGGACTCAACTAAAATGGACTGGTTATACAAGAAAACATACCTAAAACGGACTCAACTACACACTTAAAACACAAGAAATCGCCACAAAAACATAACAAACGGATATGAAAGAAAGCATTTGACAGATATGTGAAAGAAGCAAATTCGTGAGGAATAATGGTATGAGAATGTTGAGGTTAATTTTTAGGAGATATATAATATTTTGTTCGTGTATCTATATTTGTTTAACTAAATAGTAATTATTGATTAAAAATATAAGATATGATGAGTATTACTGTATTACTAATTTGCCATTAAAAATAAGTCAAAATAAGAGTTTTTTAGGTAGTTCATTTGTTAATTAAAATATAAAATAAGATGGGTATTACTGTATTACTAATTTGTCATTAAAAATATATTATAGTAATGTTTTTTTAGGCCGTTGATATTATTACAAAATCACTTGTGCTTTTATTTAGTATAGATAGGTTGATATTTTTACAAAATCACTTGTGCTTTTATATAGTATAGATAGATAGATATACATAGATAGATTAAAATTAATTAACCAAGACTTTAAGCAGGAGTAGGCCTGGAAAAAAGTTCATACATGATACAACACACAATTTATTGCTTTCAATATTCTTGAGGAATAGTTATGAAAAGTAAACACACAAACAAGCATAAGATCAGGAAGCGAATTACATTTGAGTTGGTTCAAAACACACACAACACAAATAGATTCAGAAAAACTATAATTCAGAGACCAAAGC